TTCACAAAAACGCAACTACAGGCTGGTGTTCCTGCTGAATATGTTAAAAGGTGAGCTGAGAAAAAGATGGCTAACGGGACGAGCACGTAGGACGGCCTTACGTAAACACATTCCCAGAATGACTGACAGTTAGGAGGACCACTTATTGAGATGATCCACCCGGAAATAAAAGATCTCCCTCTATATACAGTTAGCTTTACTGGAGGAATGATATGAAGAATGATTGAAGGTCGTCTTCACCAAGAGCTGCTGCAGATCCTCAGTCAGAATCCAGACAAAACTATTTAATTTATCCTCAATATAGGGATAAAAAAAATGACTTCTCCATAAACGGGATTATTTCATAATTCCTCTAGTCTGATATATTTTTAAGAAGAGAGTAGATCACTTCCAGGCCTCATCGTTTCTGAGGTCTTCTAACGAGCTGCATCCTTTCATTAAAATGGTGATTTTTCAAAATGTTTTCAGCTTTTCAGACGTTTATCAGCAAAGTCCTGCATTATTGTTTTAGGTTTTATTCATATAGATGCGTTTAGTTTAATAAACTGCTGAGACACCAACATTTACTATTTAATATCACCTCAGAGTACAGTCTGTTAGGGGATTCAATAAATCAAATGTCTTAAAAATGATTCTTCTATTTATCTACGTTTGGTTGGAATAATTTGATGGAAACATTTAAAAATCAAATCATTTAAATTTGTGGATTTTAAAAGATAAACTATTTAAAGTTATGGACACCGTTTGCTTGGTTTTTTTTAAGCAAATACTAAGTATTATGATACTATGAATAACTGTAAATGAGTTCTTGTTGGTTTATTGAAAAAACTGAGGCAGACATTAAAAAAAATCCAAAGAACCAGAAAACAGGAAAACCTCAGGGAACCTCAGAGACGAGGATGCAAATAACAACGACAAGGAACCAGCAAAGAGGGACTGAAGAGGAGGTGTATAAATGGGAGACAGAAACACAGACCAGGCTAATCAGCAGATTGGGAGCAGGTGTGGAGAGAGGAGTCTAGAAGGGAGCGAGGGAAAAACACAGGAGGGCAATAGAGGGCAAACAAGAAATACCTGAGAACTACAATACAATCATAAATAACTAGAATGACACAAAATGGAAATAAAAATAATAAAGTAGAAAACACAAACTCAAAAAAGAAAACTTAAACAGAACCAAAAAATGCAGAGTCATGACACTGACAAGTTAACTCAGTCGATTTAAAGTTTCTAAATTAAAAGTTTTTAATGTTTTAATCGACTTTAAGAAATTCAAACAATGAAGTGACTCAAAGG